ATTTTACCCCGGGGCTTCCCTTTATAGCCAATTATCTCGGGGAGGAGTCGAGACCTCTCCAAGCGAGGTAACTGGAAAATTCTTTAGTTTTACTAAGGACAGATAAACCTTGCACCAACTAGCTGGTCGTAGTAGGGGTTTGATAAGCATGGGTAGGCAAGATTTAATCGCGCAATGCGGTGTTGCATTGCATTTATAAGTCGCTGTCTCGTCACCGTCAACGTAACTGTAAAATATAATAATACAAAGAAAAGTACTTCTTGAACGGTACGCTGCTCTCTTTCTTCGTTTCTTTGACCAGTCGTCCTGTCCACCGTACTTTAGTATATTGTACCACGATACGCCATCTGTTTCCTGGAACAACTGGCTCACTCTGCACTCTCAGCCATCAGAAAGGCACAGTATCACGAACCAATTCAATAAGATCCTCCATGTTACCCCAGCATGTTGTGGCCTGAGACCATTGGTTCTGATCGACTTTCTTCTGACAATTTTTCGCCTGAGCTGTCACACGAGCCAGCTGATTGCTGTCGAGGTAAGACTGAAAATGAGATGATGTTTAAAGGGTTTTGATGTTTGATGGGTTTCATTATTTGATCAACGAGAGCCCAAATCTAGAGCGCCCGCCTCCCAATGCCTGAACCTGGGTCTCAACCGTGGATACTAGATATTCTGCCCCTAGAGCTCGTCCATCTGGTCAGGATTTTGTTTGGCATGACAATCAACCTGATCTGGACATAGGTTAACCCTGGAGGAGCATATTATACATTTAGTGAAATAGTCAGCCACATACTGCTACTATGAGTCTAAATGAGGTCTACCCTACCGTAAGGCTTACCCTGACGAGTCGGGTCAATGTTTACCTTGTTTTTAGTGCGGTTGCGAGGGATTTTAAATGCAACAATCCCAATAAGCCCGATGTTCCTGAAAGAAAAAAGAGAAAGAGAAAGGGTAGTGGAGAAGTTAGAGAAGGGTTTCAAATAGGCTACGGTTGCATTCGCGATAGAAGCACTAAGCACGCATCCATAGCAACCTACGGCATGGAATAAAGTAATCAACATACAAAATCCCCGCGCAACATTGATTTTTTTCCAGACACTCCCCTCGTGCATTTTTGTTATTTTGCAGAACAGGATCTACCGCTTTCGGGTTTAAGAACTTTCGAAAAAAAATTTCTGACCGCCCTCGGCTTACCCTTATTGAGCGGGCAGGCGAGACAGCCTCCCTAACCTCATACCTCATTTACCATGACTGCTTCTTAGCAGTTATTCTGCGAGAGAGATGATACAGGCCAATATCGCCAAAAAATTTCTGAATTCGCCTGTTGAGGGGTTGGGGGGGGGAAGGGAGAGTGGGTGGCATATACAGCTCCCACTTCTGACTGACTTTGCCCCTTCCATACCCTTTGATGAAAATTGCAGTATTTTTTCATTCATTTTCATCCCCGATAACTACTCGTTCCCAACAAATACACCCTTTCACATCTCACCAGTGTGATCCCATAGAGGCCCGTCTACCTTCAGCGATCCTAAAGATGACCTCATCCAAAAAGACCAATCGAATTACTACCCCCACCTGCCAAGAAAATCAGGAATACTACACACTGTCGCGGTCTACCACACCCATAGCGAAAGTCTCGAAAAAATCTATCCGTGTGACTTTTATTATTGATTATTACAGCAACGCTTCCTTACTGAGTCTGCTAGTGCAAACTCATCTGGGTGCAGGAGACATAATGTATCATATTAAGTTGGGGTTCCCAAGAGGAGGAACAGCCCCCGTTACCGCGTTACAGTTGAAGGAAAAATGTGAGTACTCACATTGGCGTAGAGATATTCGCCCCATGTGTTCACGTAATCCATCGCCGAAATCCACGAATCGCCCAGTGCTACACCGCGAAAGTCCAGTCGAATAGTACCAGAGGCGATCTCCTGAACAGAAGTCTTGAAGCCATTTTTCCACAGCTCCGGGACCACAACAGTGATGCAATTCAGAATAGGTGATCCGAGTATGAAGAGCGCTGTATTCTGTCCCTCTATCTCGGAAAACGAGTGCAGACCACACATCACAAGTGACGACGGCCAAGAAGAAAATGGCTTTTTCTTTCTTCTTGCCGTCGTAACTTGTGGTGTGTGGTCTGCACTCGACGCTCTTCTCGTTTTCCGAAATATATGTAAGCTCACCTGGGTGATAACTCGAGCAAACTCAGCACTCATCTTTCCGCCGTAGCTCTCGCAAAATATGAAGAATGGTCTGGTACGATATTCGGAATGCACAATCAGGAAATAGCGTAGCCATGCAAGTAAATCCTGTCCAATTTGGGCGACATTTGTTGTAAACGCTGAATCGTCGTCGACGTAGGAGAAACCGGCCCAACAGGGTTATCCACATAGACCAAATCAGCTACTTGGAGCTGAAATTGAAAAGTATGTTTGTGGAAGGGCAAGGCGAATAAACTGCCAACAATACCCAAGTGGCCGCGTTGTCCGTCGAGTTCATTCTTTTTGGTCCCGTCTCTTCGAAATTACCAAATCCTGTGCTGGATGCTCCTGGTCCTCCCTGAATAGGCTCTGTTGAGACTAGGAAAACTATGAAGGTCAAGTCAGCCCTTGGCCACAGCCACGGCCATAGAGAGCAGCTTTACGGTACTTTCAAACCCTTGAAGGCACAGCTCAATTTTGTAGAGGGATCTAATCTAATAGGGGGGGGGCATGGGGCGCGTTGTGCCGCGTGCAAAAATCCCAACCTTTTCAGGGGTGAAGATCGCAGTAATACTTGAACCACTTCGTTTT